ACACCAGCTTGGAAGGTGTACTTTGCTTATTGAAACACAGATGTCTCTGTTCGAGTTGCACAAATACATGCATACCTTATGTAAGGAATATACCCCATAATAGACGACTTTCCTCTATTATTATTAATATTATATTACTTCTTAATAATAGAGCCTCTAGTTACTTAAGATTCGATCTTCCATCTAAGCTCTTCACCATTATTACTTAATAATGTAACAATGTAACACTTTGTAACAATATCTTTCCAATAATTATTACTCTTTGATCGTAAAAGTAAGATACATCTATCGATTGGACGTGTATGTGATTTCCAGGTAAATTTCCAATTATTTTTACAAATTACACCTGCCGTACACCTTCGAAAACTCGATCAATTTTATGGAATAATTAATCGTACGAAAAGGCGTAAATTGTAGAGTTCGTGCGACAAGCCGGAATCCGAACAAATTTTCTCGAGATGCATATTTAATGTGTGGAATTTCGATCAATGAGTTTTGCATGGTGCAAAAGTCAGTCGAAAAAAAATAAAAATTTGGTTAAGGAAAAATTAGTTTTCTAAGGCAGCATAAAAATAAAATTATAAATATGCTAAATTTGTATTTTCCACGTTATTGAGACTAGGGGCCTCGTAACATAAAAGAGAAATATTATGTATGAGTTAAATATTTAATGTAAAGAAAATAAATAATAGTCCTTTCAATCTCACAATAATGTTTTTCCCTACGACCACTTAGGAAAGTCAAATTTCGTACTAAATATGAAAAGCAAAGTCATTCTGTCGAATAAATTACTTATGTATAACACCATTCTACGCCCCATCCTTACATATGGCTGCCCGGTTGGCGGAATTTTGTTCGAAAAATTTTGTTCGAAAACTTTTGTTCGAAGCACGTTTGTTCGAAAACCCTTAGTTCGAAAATACGTTTGTTCGAATGAAAGGTTGTTCGAAAAACTTATGTTCGAAAATACTTTTAGTCGAAAATGTTATGTTCGAAAATACTTTTAGTCGAAAACGTTATGTTCTAAGATACTTTTAATCGAAAAATATTATTTCTAACAATACTTGTTCGTTTTTTTGGTGAATCCTAATGTAAAATATATTAAAGAAAATAGAAATATTGTCTTAAATAAAATTAAAAAATAATAAGTAATTTACCTAACTTGTGTGGTCTAGTTATCGTAGGTTAATCCGCAAAAAAAATATGCATAAAATAGGAAAAATAAAAACAAAAAACTAAACTGACTGACCTAACCTGTGGAGATTTGCAAAAAAATTCATAAAATTAAAAAAGTAAAAAAAACTGTAGTATTTTTATTGTCGACCAATTAAATTTAAATTTCATAGTATTTTTATTTCAAATGCAATAAATACATGAATCCTAATCATTTAATATATTGAAGGTTTAACTATTATTTAAATAAGGTAGGCTACGCTCCTTAGGTATTGTTGCAGTTCCTCGTTGTCTATACTGTCATCAAACCCATCCACTATCCTTTTTAATCGCTCATTGAGTGTATTGTAATTTCTATGTCTTTTGGCCAATAACTCTCCACTTCCCTCTTTCACAATTTTAATAAAAGTTAAATTTTGTTCTTTTTTAAGGGCCTTCATAAATTTCCAAATGGAAGGATTTTTTGCTTTAATTAGTGTTAAAAAGCCACTGTTCCATCCCTCGACTACGTTGTTCGTAAGGGCTGTGTCATTTTTAATGTTATTATAACAACTCCACATGCTGTGCTGGAATTTTGGTTTCTGTCGTATTCTTCTGTCTAATTTTCCAATCCATACATCTTCAAAATAAAATCTTGACATTCCTTTCCAAATAAGTTTTGTTCCATAATTAAATTAAAAGATCTTACAATACAATTTTCAGGTACTATGGATTGTAAAAGTTTAACTTTGTGTGAAAATTCAACATCGGTATCGTACTTTTTTTTCAATCCACATTTTTGGATTTTCCGATATAAGCTTTGCTTGAAATGAAAGAAGCAACATGTGTCGAACTGCAGGAAATAGTATTTTTATTGCATTTATAATACCTATCTCAAAGTCTGTCATTATCCCTAATACTTTTTCTTGTCCGTGTAACATGTATTTTATTATCGTGCACATCCTAACGTAAGTTGATTCTTCTTTATTAGGCAATAAAGTATAAATTAGTGGCAGCACTGAATTATTTAACACACCGTGTATTACATATATCTGACAAAATACATTTGGTACTGTCTTAAATGTTCCGTCCATGTACCAGTACTGGGAATCTGTTAATACCCTTAAATTTTCATTTGTCGAAAATATGAGGAACCTCTTACCAACATCATTTTCGTCTTGAAAGGAGTCATCATACAAAAACTTTTCGGACTTATCAGTAAACTGATGTTCTTCCGGTAAAACTATATCACTTCTGCTTTTTGGAAGAGCTGGATAGTTGTTTTCTTTTTTCCTCAAGCTTCTTATTGTTTTTTTTTAAGACTACGAAGTGCTGGCAAACGTGCTAATACTAGTGCGCTTGTTGAAGCAGTGGCCTCTGCTATTGTGCCCTGTGAAGTTTCTATAGTGGTTCGTGCCTTATTTCGAATATCTTCTAATACAGTTCTAACTCCTTCTTTCTCTGACCGTCCACTATGATTGTGTACTCCCTTTGTAGTCAGTCTTCTTTTAATCTCTCGTAATTATTCTTCCTTTACTTACATCCTTTTTTTACCTCTTCGAATTTTTCGAACAACGTGTTTCGAACAAAATTCCGCCAACCATGGCTGCCCAGTTTTTTGCTTTATGGCAAACTGTCACTACTCAAAACTGCAAATTGCACAAAACAGATGTCTTCGGCTGGCGCTTGGCTACGACCGTTATGCCAGGATTATGGACATGCATAGACAAACAGACACACCACTAATGAAAGACTACGTAATAAAAACAGCCGAAAGTTTCTACAAACGGTGTCTTGCCGATGATGTTGTGGATAATATCCTAAGCATACACCGGGGAGATGGCGTGCGTAGAAAACACGGCTGTATATATGCAAAACTTGACATATACATACTCTGACGCTAGACTACATCATCCTTCCTTCCCAACACTAAATAACAGCTCTCCTAGACTAGATATTTACACGATCTAGTCGGACGGTAAGGAGACTTCTTCTTTTCATTTGACAAACATAGAAAATAGGCATAAGCGCAAAACATCGGCCAGAAGATCATCGGGCAATGATATCTGCAAAGATTTCTTCGCATATATCAAATGTTGTTGTAGATGTAAATTTTTTTAAACTGTAAATATTGTAAAAAGAATAAAGATATATTCAGTGAGCCAGTTTGCCTAGAGATCTTTAGGCATTGGTACATTGAGACCTGTGATAAATTTTTCGCGAGAAACGTCAAGTGTCAGCTGTCATTCGTAATAATGTGCGATTCAAAACATTTAATTTTCCTTTTTATTTAAACGGCAGATAAGTATAAACACACCCCGGGAGTGATCCGGACTAATGTCGGAACCCTCCAGGCCCTCCATGGTAGAATACGAAACAGTGTATTCGAAAAGACTTTAACAGCGTATCGACTACCTAAACTTAATGTGAACGTGTCCAAAAAACGTGCCACAGTTAGTAGCCCTAAAGTGTTAAAGAACAAACATTTGCACCCATATTTAAAAGTGAGTACCAGTAGGATGACCACTAATTCTTCTAATCCGGGATCATCTGCTAGATATAGAAGAGACCCCTTGTCCGAATTTTTTGGTAAAAAAAGTTTGGAGAATGAACTCTTACTAACTAAATCTCAAGAATTTACAAAACAGCTGAGAGCACTACCAAAAATTAGCAGAATATCGACCAAGAAAGTTTGGAGAACACTGATAGTGTTTTAAGAATCGACCCAAAAGGAAGTTTGGAGAATCTGCTCAACGACCTCGAGGGCTCGAACGACGGATCCAACAGCCCTAATAATTTAAATAAGACAGTTTTGAACATGGACACATCCGAAAATAGTGATGAATCGCCGGAAAATTCAAAAAACCAAACAACTTTTACAAAGAAAAAGCTTGTAGAAAATCACCCAAACTTTACTTCAGAATACGTCATCCTACCTAGCCATGTCAGGGCTAGAACCTTAGACTTTGGACAGCACGCCCACTCATCAGAGGAAGACAAGACCCTCACCCCAAAACTACCCCCTCTAGTGAAAATGCTAGCCCTCAGGAAACTGGAGCAAGTACTATAACACAAAACAAAACAATAATAACACTGAAGCAAACTCTCAGAGCCGTGTGGACAAAAATCAAACCGTAGGTGGATCGAGTAGCTGTAGGTTCAGATATGACTCTGCACCCTCTGTGATAAACGCTAACAACCCCCTAAGCAACAGATTTCGTAACCTGGAAGGAACAGGAGCAGTGCCAAAAATCTTTACTGTCCCAAGCGATCCCAGAATCAGAATTGGGGTAAGAAGCACCGACCTACCCCCTAGCATAGATCAATCCATCTTCAGTTACAGCTCCGGGAACTTAACCTCTGAAGAGGAAAAGAAATCCACTGAGGGAAATCTAAGCGAAAAACAAAACTGCCACATTCACCTAACAGCATCTTCTCCTTAAGGTCTAAAAACAGCCCTGAAAACCCTGAGAATATGAATACTAAAGCCCAAACAAACAATCAACCCTTTATCACCCCTAGAGTATAGCGCTAACTTTGAAAAGCTCATCAGAGAAAAGACTAGAAAAACACTTACTCAGACAAAAAACAGATATCAAGCCTTAACTGAGGACTGCGGAAGAATTGTTGAGAGGAAGAGGAAATCGGCCAAAACAAGGGATGATAAAAACGATAACAACACACCTAAAAAACCAGATGAGACAATCAAAAGCATTTTAGCCGACAACAACGCTAAAAATAGCAAAAACAACCCCAAAAGTACAACCACTCTGACGAAGAATAAGAACCACATGCCACCAATCGTAATCGACGGGAAAACCGCAAATTAAAATACCCTCATCAATGATATGAAACAAATAGTTAAAGGGAAATTCAGTGTCAAACACACTAACAACTCAACGATCCTCTTCGTTGAAGAGAAAGAAGATCACGAGAAAATGGTTAGTAACATAAGGGCCGAAAAACTACCTTATCATACCTACTCTAACAGGGACGAAAAAACACACGCCTTCATACTAAGAGGGTTAGCAGACGAAACAAAAATCGAGAACATTGATGAAGACCTGTCTGAAGAATACGAAATTAAAGCCAAAAATATATTCAGGATGAACAACAAAAAATCGACCGCTGTTCCTTGTCATAACGCACCCCCCGTTGACACTGGTCTATCTGAATGAAAATGTACGTAGAGTACACAAGAGTCGTATGGGAACTACCCAAATCCGTCAAACAGATAGTCCAGTGCCACACTTGCCAACAATGGGGCCATGCAACTGCAAAGTGTGGAAGGCAGCTGAAGTGCCTAAAATGTGGGGGTGATCATCACACTCGCACCTGTCTCAGGACACTCCTGCGACTTGTGTAAACTGCGGTGGTGATCATCCCGCAAATTATACAAAGTGTAAGAGCTACACTGACAGAATTGAGAGACTGGAACTAAACAGAATGCAGAGACCCCAGCAGAACAAATATGTACCCGCCCTCGCACAGGCTTATAACCAATCTTCCCAAAACATACAGCAGAACAGTAGATGACTTTCCAGCCCTGTCCACCAGAGTCCAGAGGTCAGATCCAAGGACAAATCCAACCACAACCATCCTCAGAATGGAAAATCCAAGGCAAATGAACCAGGGTGCAGTCTCACGGCCGATGTCACGTCACTTAACGAAGCCTTTGCTGAACTCAACAGCCTTGTTAATATGAGTGAGCTTGCTAGAGCGGTAAGACAACTTAACGCACAAATCAGACTTTGTATAACCTCCTCCTTTTTTGAAGTCGGTTAAAAACAGGACAGGAACTTATTGAGACGTATAATCATTTCATGTCAAACGTAGACAGTAACTTCAACTTAAGAAACTAACGAACTACATAACAACAAATAAATTTAATTTTCGGTCACATCTTCTTTGGCCCTAAGGGCCCGCGCGAAGAACCCGCCGCTCGGGTTCAGTAGTGTGATATATTATATTTATTATTTGACATGTACATATATTTATAATGTAAATAAAAGTATTCTAAAGTTAAAAGTAAGATTTCATCTTCAGTTTAGCTTTAAATTATCAAAACCATATTCCGAATAGAATGTTTAAAATCCGCAATGGATACAAGTCGACTGCCTTGTTCTTTGAACTATCAATGGATGCGTGAAATAAAATCATCGGTAAAGAAGATAGACAATGGTATCACCCCGTAAATTATTTGAAGGTTCGGTTTTAATTTTATTTCTCAATTTTCTTCGTTATAACATCGATTTGAAAATTGGTTTTAACGTAAATGTAATTGGTTTTTAATAGACTATTTGCTTGTCTCCGTAAAAAAATAATATTTTATTTTTTTATAATTATTTAAACTTTTATTTTGGTTTTAAAGTTGAATTATTAATATTAGCGTCAGCAATTGCTCTGATTTATTTAAAAAATGTTTACCAAATCTTAGGTCTTCATCTTTTATAGATTTTAAATTCATTTGGAACTAAAATTAAATGCAATTAAACTTTCACCTTAAAATCCTAGAAAAACAATATCATAACAGAAAAATTATACGTCCATTCATCAAAAAATAATATTTGGGCCCTTTACCTTTTTGATCCTATTATAAAATTCAGATTCAGATACTTATTTTGATCATGTAATATCTCTATTTGAAAATATCGCTCAAATTTGAATTTAAACAAATTCATTTCTATTGTTACAGCTTCCGACATAATAAATGGACGTAATAATAATTGTTCTGTCTACTTGAACCAAAAAGTGCGAAACTACAATTCTCGAATGAGATTAAGTTCAACCTGGCTTCTCGCTTTTCCCCTTTGTTAAATGAAAAAACATTTATAACTCGCTTCTAGAAGAAATCTTTAGTTATTCTCAATGACAAATTACAGTCGTAAGGTGCCGGGCGTGCGAGACATAAAAGAAATAAAAAGAGACGAGAACAAGTTGCCAAGCCGAATTAGCCTCTTCTCGTCATGGGCTCTGTTACTTTTTCTGCAAACAAACATGAGAAGGTGTGAATGAATGTGGAAACAAAAAATAATTATGGTTAATTGGAGAACCAGTGAAAAAATATCTTCGTGACTTTGAGTATTTTTTCTTACTATTAGTCGGACAGTTTGAACGAGGGATCCGAGATATCCATTAAAAGTAATGTTCGATTGAGCTCCTCCTATCTCCGAGAATTTTTTTATTCAACTCGTAAGCATTGTTCATGTTTTTTCATCTCCTCTTAACATAATTGAAATTTAGAATCTTGAGAATAATTGCAATTGCAAATAATGAATGCCTAATCCTAATTTATTACAACTCTTAAATTAAATATTTTTACTTGAAGAAGCGTTAATGTACTAAGTGTTCCATAGGTTACTAGCCAACTAATATTCCGAACAAAATATATACTAATTTAAAATAGGTGTTCACTTTTTCCAACAATTTTATCATTTGAAGTTGTCAAGTGGCCCGACGTAAAAAAATGTTTCGCTGCAATTATTTAGGCCTTCAAATTGCTTATTTCTACTCATTGTAGTTGCATGGGAATACCATTTGAAAATAGAAAATAGTATATTCTTTAATTTTACGTAAGTTTTGAATAACTACAAGTGGTAGAAAATTGTTTTTCTGCGTTTTTATTAACATGCGTTATGAGGGCTTTAAAATGGTATGAAATTCATAACCAGCGTCAGCAAGCATCAATCGTAGGAGGCTGTGATCATTGTATTTTGACAGTTCAAAACATTAAATAACTCGCGTTTTGTTGCGATAAAGAATATTGCACAGCAAGTAAAACCAACAAAATTACCTATTTGTTTAAAAATGAATCGATTTGAAAATCATACGCTATGCAAAATATGCATGAAATTGTCTGATGTAATGATCAATCATTGCACCATGACTTACTTACTCGGATTAATAGAGGATTGTGGCTCCAACTTGAAAAACGAAAATTTGTTCCGAATTGTCCACGAATATTTGCACCTAAACTACGCAAAATTCAAAGTGCTGAATGGGAAAAAGGTGAATAAATTAGTGTCTAAATATTATATATATTTTATTAGACATAGACACATAATTCAAAGCATCCAAAGTCCTGCATTTTCGCCATTAAGAAGAAAAAAAGTGGCCGAAGAATATAGAAAACACCTTAGCATTGTAATTAAAATGTATCAAAACTAAACCTATTATGTGAACAAATAAAAACCAGTCTGTCAAAAATGGTCTGTTATTGTAAACGTCAAAAAATTTCCAGCATAATTCGCTGTTGGGTACCCCACGAGAAAAAAATTTCCACTAAAATACCTCCGTTGCCATGGTGATCTGTCAAAAACACGTATTTTGATTGGTTCAAAATTACAGGTGTGGAATTTTCAAGTCAATATCATTTCTCGTTTTGGACTTATCGTGCAGACAAAAAACGTGACATCGGACAGACGGACAAAGTAAAGCTATAATACTTTTCACAGAATACTGTATAAAGAATAAAAAAAAAAATATATAAGGTAAAATAAACAATTTAAGAAGGTCAACAATAATATTCAACTTTTTTATCAATGGATAATTGAACATTTACATAAATTTGTAAATTAAACTAGTGAGATACACATTGTAAAATGTTATCACACTTAATTCTCCATATGACCCTTTCTAAGTGTATATCACAGCACATTCCAAAGTATTCTTACTCTCACTAATGTCCTACGCTCATAACTGACTTTTGCTTGTCCAAGTTTACTGAAAAATATTGTGTTTTAATAAATAATAGAATAATAGTATTTTGTCTAAATAGGTAAATCGGCTTAATCTGTATTTTCAAATTATTAATTGTAGATAGTATATAATGTTTTAATGACTTATAGGATTGATGACCCAGAGCGTGTAGATATGTGGGATGTGACTTATTAAGTGATTAATCAAAATCAAAATTTGTTTGATACTTATTGCTCTTTTCGAGACATACTTTATTACCAACTGTAAACTAATTTACCGGGTTTGTATGCACAAAATCTAAACTAGAGGTTAACATGATTGATAATTTCAGCCATTTCTTAGTATCTTATTATGAGTAGGTATATTTAATTTCAACTGGTTGATCCATTTTTCCCATCAGACTGTTAAAGTAAAACACCATTTGTGTCTTTATCTTTATCAAACGTTTATTGTACATTTCCATAATGATGTAGTTACCTTATCAGAACAAATACATTTTTCTTTTTAGCGGGTTTTTTGCTTACTTCTTACTTCATAGTATTTACAGTTTAATACAAAATCGACCATTTTGACGTTATCTTAGAATTAGACAATGAAACAAATTATAAAACAAATTAGATTCGTAAAACTTTATTATGGTTAAATAAAACAACAACTTTAAAAATAATTTTATTTACCTTGCCTTAAAGAAATTTTTCTAAATAAACTAATCTTAGTTTTATTCAGGATGAAAGACAATTATGGTCATTCACCGTTGTTTTATTTAAAGAGTTTTATTTTCATAGTATATGAATGACAGATCTATACTTCGTGAATAGGCCTTTTCATCACAATTTTTTTTTGTGCGCATGCGTCAGTATCGGTCATCTTTTTCGTACGCTTTTATGTAAACAAGCATGTTAAAAAGTCCACGTGAAAAAAATTATAATCGATAAATATTAATTTTAAGTATATTCGTTTAAAAAATGGGATAAAAAAAGTAAAGTAATAAGTGTTTTAATTGAAAAATCAATTTTTGCAATTAATTATGTTATCAATACGAAAACGAAAAACTAAACAGTATTGTTATGAGTATACAAAAGTGACACACGGTATAAATTAATATTTTATAAAAAGACTTGCCTGCAATATTGTAAAAAAAACTGTCAAATTAGGCAAAATACATATATTAAAACAAGTTCAAAATGAGCATTATGAGTGAAAAATGTGGTTGAAGTGACAACGGTTTTCGACAGATTGATGGATGATGTTAGGTACTAAAGATACTTATATTTGTTCACTACATTTTCATATAGAAAGTGGTTCAACAGAAGAAACTCCTGTCTGGTATTACACAATGTTTTTTAATATTAAATACTATTTCGGTATACAGATATTATTAAAAATGTCAGGTTTATCCTTAAAATTTTAAATAATTTATCTTATTAATTATACTCGTGATTAACTTTCATGTTAAAGTATTTTTGCAATTATTAATAGT